GCCGCCCCGTGAGCCGGCCCTCCACGCATCGCCCCCTCCCTCTCGGGGCGGATGGTTTCTTCCGTTCTCTCGGCTGTTTCAGGTTCCGCGCTCCAGAGTCACAAAGCGCGGGGTCACGTGGGCGGGCCGGTGCGCTTTGTGACGCCACGGGCCCCGCCTCCCGGCCCGCCTATCCGCGCACGCCAGCCCCGCCTCGCGCGCGTCGCCCGTGCAATCCCTGCTTAAGAGACCCCGGAGTGGGGCGCTCGCCCGAAGCCAGGCCGCGTCCGCCATAGTGGCTGGCTTGGAGGTGTCGCCGGCGCTGGGTGAGGGCCCGAGAGCGGCAGGGGGGCAGAACAAAAAGAGAGCCCCGAAGCCCTTGCCGTTGCCCGGCCGTTTCCGGGCCTACTCTTGCGGTTCGCGGCCGAAAGGCGACGGGAGCGAAAGGCGAGAGAAGCGCGGAGCACACGGCGAGAGGAAGCGTCGGGGAGCCTCGGCGGCGTCCCCAGGGTCCGCCAAAGCCACCCGGCCGCTGGCTGGGGCCCGGGGTGGTGAGGAAGTGCTTCGAGGCCTAGTTGAGGCCTAGTACCGGCTTTGTGTCTGAGGCGGCGGCGGCGGCGGGGGGGAGGCGGAGCCGGGGGCGGCCTGCGAGAAGGCCTCTCCTCCGCCGACCGCGCGTTTTGGGCCTAGGCCGCGGGCCGCTCGTGGCCTCCGGGGAGCAGGCGACAGGGGTTTGTGTGTGGGGGGGCCTGGGCCTGGGGAAGCTGACGCCGGTCGTCCGGAAGCCAGGAGGAGGCGAGAGGCCGCTCGTGGACTCCGGGCCTAGGCCCTCTCCCCCAACCTTCTCCCGGGGCCTGGGTCACCCCAATCCACGGAAAGAGAGAACAACCGGCAGGTGCGGCCGCGCTATGGACCCCTGACCCCGCGGGGTCATTCGGACTCTAACGTGTGGACTGACCGCTACTGACTGCACCGCCTGCCCCCCGTCTCCTGCCGGCCCTTAGCATGAGCGAGGGGGACCCAGCCGGGTGACATTGTGCCCGTTGGCGGATTCTCGATTTCCCCTTTCCCCGTCCTCGTCCGCTTCCTCCCGTATGAAGTGCTTCTGAGTACCGGGGTCGGGAGGGGCGGTTCTGGATTATTGTTTTTACGAACCCCTGCTTGTGGTTGGGGGGTATTTAATCTCAGGCCTTAGGGTCCTTCGGTGTCTTTTGAGTGTTTCTGTGTGTACATATTTTGCTCTTAAGTTTATAAATATACATATATTGAGAGTGTCCACGTCTCCTCGCTGAACCTTAGGAATCCTTTGGCACCATGTCCTGTGTGCATTATAAATTTTCCTCTAAACTCAACTATGATACCGTCACCTTTGATGGGCTCCACATCTCCCTCTGCGATTTAAAGAAGCAGATTATGGGGAGAGAGAAGTTGAAAGCTGCCGACTGCGACCTGCAGATCACCAACGCGCAGACGAAAGAAGGTAAGGGCCACATGGGCTCCAGATATTTGCTGGTTGAAGATAGATACCGGTTGTGCGAGGGCCTGGCAGGAGACTAACCGCCATTACGTCTCCTGTGGGACTGTTCATTCTAGTACTTTTGGAACAACTTTCATGGAGACCCGAGGGTTGCTGCAGTCGGCCTGGGAGTTGAACTGGGTTGTTTGATTTCTGCGTTCTTGGGAGCATCGGTAACTGGCTAATCCAAAAACGTGGAAGTCTGATTATCCTTCTCAAATGTTATTTAAAATGAAGATTGGGGTGGAGAGGCCGAGGGGTGTTACATCCACGTTCTTGGGGTGCTTGTGCCTTGTGGCGTTTTCCAACTTGCTTTTTCCTCGGAAGGAGGGGAGGAGAGCATATTGCAGGCTTCTTTTTTGTTAAAGCAGCGTAGAGATACTTCTCTAACTTTGTAATCTGACAGCGGTTTGGGGTTCAGTGGCAAGTTTTCTGCACTCCTTTTCTTCCTGTTTTTGTGTACTTAATTTATTTTTATTTTGGAGTTGCCTGTGTCGTGGAGAAGGGACCTTCACTTAAATATTTTTTGAGGAATTAATCCAGCCTGTGTTGAATGTTTTTGGAATTGCTTTTGGAACTTGATATGTTCTGATGTCACCACTTTTGTGGGTAAATTGCAGAATTAGTAATTAAGTGGTTGAACTCTTAATTCATCACGGTAATCTTAAAATTCAGCAGTTTAGTAAGGATTAAAAGTAAAGGGTTTTTTTTTTTAAAGGAGTAATTGCTAGACTTTACATGATTTTATTGTTACTAGGGTACAGAAAGTAGTAGGCTGCTACCGCATGAGTTTCAAACAAGCCACTGATTGGAATCTTTAAGTTCTTTATCCTTTTTAAAAGCATTTTATAATGTTGAGAATTTAACATTGGATATGACAATGTGATAAACTGGCTTTTCAGATTATGGCTCTGCATTTGTTTTGGCTTCTTTTTCTCGGTACTGTAATGCTGATGTGTAGTTTTCAGTAGGTCAGTCTTTTGAGTTTTATTAATGGGATGAGAGGAAATAATGTGAAGTTCTAATTAGGTTTAGGGTCTTTTATTGATCACTGAGTTTTTTTTAATCACCAACTTTGGCTTAAGGTGTGACTTGTGTTCTTTTAGTTGAAATCGGGGGGGGGGGTCCCTCACTGCTAGCCCATAGGAGTTTGGGGTTTTTGAGATTTTATTTTTAATCTCTGTGCGCAACATGGGGCTCAAACTCAAAACTTCCAGATCCAGAGTCCTGCAGGCTCCACCAACTGAGCCAGCCAGGCGTCTCTAGCCTATTGTTTTTAATAGAGCACATCTTGTCATGTATAAGAGCTGTTTTCCATTTATATCCAGGCATAAGTATAATTGTGTTGTGTTAAGGAATGGCACTACTGGCATGACTCAAAAATATTTATTAAGGAAGAACTTTATTTACTCACATGGTAACATCTAAAAAAATATTCTCCGCTCCCCTCCCCCTTTTAAAGCGTCCTAAGGGATTCTTCACATGAAACTTTGGTAATTGTAATTATGTGTAGAATCCTCTACTTAAGGAAAGGAAAAATTGCTGATCATCATGAACGGTTGAGAAACATCTGTTTTAAACTAGTATTCAAGAAAATACCTTAAAAATACTTTTTAAGGCCACCAAAAGTGTCCTTTAAGTATTGTCACACTTCACAGAACAGATGGATTTATGGGACTTTCAGGACATATTGATATGTTAATAATACTTGTAAGTAGGAGGAAAGAATATAAATGAAGGTAAAGAATACAAAGACAATTTTAATCATATGCTAGGCAAGTTTTGTCTTTTACTGGAGTATTAAATGATTTCATCATTTGGAACTTGACTTTGTCCATCTTCTCCACCTACTAATTGAATACAACTTTGTTAGATTGGAGTAAGAGTTGATGGAATTCTTGTCAAAAATCTAAGGGTTTTGTGGCATTGTTATATTTTTTCCTAAGCCAGGACATTATATGATGTATTATTTTTACAAACCCTGAAAACCAGGGAAGTGTTCTGCCTAGCAGCTTATTTTCTTTTATATATTTATGTGAACTGTCCTTACTGGAGAAAGCTTTGATGTTACATTGGTTAAGAGAGGGAGCGTCTGGGGTGAGAGCATGTGCATTTTGTTCAATCCTCAGATTAGGGGTGGAAAAGATATCATTGATAGTAGTGCGGAGGGTAGTCACTTAATGAGTTTTATGGGGAATAACATCCAGTGTCACAGGCAGTTGAGTAAGAATGGGTTGGGTTTTAGCACCATCCAGTGAATTAAGAGAGTACAGAATTAATGTTTATAGCCTCATAGTTAGGAGATTGCCCAGGAGAGGATGCTGAACTGGATCACTTTAATTTGTTTGAATTAATGTTTAAATTACCCAGTGTATCACATTTCTGTAAAACACTCCTTAGAGGTTTGGAAATCTGGCCATGTTTAGGACCCTTAAATCCGATGAGACCAAAATGCTTGGATCAGAATTTCATAATATAGATTTAAGAGTCTTGCACCTTTATCTCTAGACTATATTTCAAAACAAATTCTGAATGATCCTTCCTATATATTTTTTATAGCTTTCCCATTGTTTTTCTGTGTTTCAGTTTCCCCCCTCCAAAACAAAACAAAACAAACCTTCATTCTGAACTGAGTGTGAAAGATTTGAAAGCTGAGAATGAAGTATTTTTAAAAGACTCTTATTATCTTTATCATTTCTCAGATTCATCTTGTTTTTCATTCCGAAATCCATGGTCTTTATATTTTTGGGTCAGAAATTACTTTGGCACCTGGAAAAGGTCTTTTGAACCTAACAGGCTACTTAGCAAGGTATTTTAAGGGTAGGAAGTCACCAGTGTAATTCAGGTACTTAAAAGGTCAAATCTGGTGTAGGGGCACCTGACTTTTAGTCTGACACAGTATTGTGCCGATCAGATTAATAAGTTGTGGTGGAAAGCTACAGTGAATGCTTTTGTTATGTGTTTAGAAACTTGTTGTCAAGTGTTTTTTGTTTCTAGAATTTACTTTTTGAACATCCCCCATCTTCCAATTTTTCTTACTCAGAGCTTGCTGGACATTTGGGACTATCATGAACTATCAAAGCAATGATGATAGTCCTCTCATGGTATGCCTGAATCTGGGAAATTGCATCACATACAGTTTGCTACTTGAAATATACTAAAAAGAACCCTTTCTTGAACAATTTAGTTTGTAACAGGAAATAACTAATAGTGTTATGATTAAAATTAATTATATGTGTGTGTACACACACACACACACACACACACACCCATAAATATATATAAGCTTAAAATGCTTGTATGTGTGATAAATTGAAATAACTGGAAGAACAGAGGTAGTCGGCCACTGCAAGTCAACTCTGTAATCTTAAGAATGAACCCTAATGCCTGAATGTGTGATTTAGGGAGATGGGTACATTCTTGCATCTGTCTCCCTGTGGTGGGTTATTTTTCTTTTTGGTAATTTTACAAATCCCTTCCTCAGGAAATCTTTTTACCCATAGTTAAATTAATTGGTCCAGTTTCTCTTTTAATTTCATTCTTCCAGAAGTATTGCAAGTAATAGAGAATTAAAAGAGTAGAAAATAGGATCCATTCATCCTCCGTGTTTTCTTCTCAGAAAGTGACATCACTGTTCTTCCAGTTGCTTAAGCCAGGAACTCAGTTACTTATGCCTTATTGCTCTTTTTCCTTCATCTTCTCCCCTCCCCCCCAATTAAATCCATTGATTGCCTTATCAGTTCTACCTCAGAACATTCTGATTTCCATGTCTTCACCTGTCACAACCCAGCACAGACCATCATCTCTTACCGGGACTTCGCAGCAGCCTCCTCATTAGTCACCCTGTTTCTACTCTTGTTCCCTTATGGGTTCATTTTCCACATAGATACCAGAGTTATCTTTTTTGTTTGTTTGTTATTAGTGTAAATCATTGTCATTTTTGTTTAGAATCCTTCAATGACTTCCTGTTGTACTTAGAAACAAAATATAAATGAATATGTGACCTGTACTTTCTAACTGTAGGTCAAGTCATTCTTTTCCTTTCATTATCTTCCAGCTATGCTGGCCTTTTAATGATTTTTTTTTCACCTGCTTTTCTTTCTGTCTTTAAACACTCTGTCCATCTTTTTTGCACATCTGTCTGGCTTCTCAGTCTTTAAGTCTCAAGCATCAGTTCCTAGAGAGGCCTTGAATCAACATTTTATGCAAAGTTGCATCCCACTACTAATTCTTTTTATAAAACCCTTTTCCTCTATTCAAAACATGGCATAATTTCTTTTGTAATACTCATGTTGAGGGGCTAGGAGAGACAGAATGTCTTCATTTAAATTACATATTTTTTCTCATAGATCAGATGTTTAGCATTATTGGTTAAAGTGGAGAATGACTTAGTCTTACTGAGATTTGGGGTTCCATAGAAGTAGAGGCACCAGAGCCAAGAACCTGCTGGCAGTATTTGGTGTCCTTTGAAGAGAACCTCCTTATGGATGCGGACATTTGTTCTGACATTATCAGTATTCTAGAGGCAAGGAACATGCTCTCTTAAATTTAAATTCCTTTTCCGTAAAATTTGTCTTTGGTTGAAGTTTTCTAATTCTTGAGGACTGACTTACCCAAATCGCCAAATAGAAATTCAACTCTTTATCTTTTTTACAGAATATACTGATGATAATGCTCTAATTCCTAAGAATTCATCTGTAATTGTTAGAAGAATTCCTATTGGAGGTGTTAAATCTACAAGCAAGACATATGTTATGTGAGTGTTTATCAAATCTCATGTATTTAAGTCCTCAAAATACTTTTTTATTTTGTGAGGAAGAACAAGTATTTTAGAACTGAACTCATTACTTTACCCTAATAAGTATATCTTCTTAATCCTTAAAATGGTGAGGATGGGTTTGTTATTTCCTATCTCTTCCCCCAGTTAACCTGTAGTTAGTGGTAAGAGCTATCAAGAATTTTTTTGCTTTGTAATATTTACAGAGACAAAATGATGCTCAAATCGGTGAATAAGTATTTGCATACATACCCTTTTGTTTTTTATTGGCACACTTTTATTTCTGACTGTCCTTTCACTACACAAATATATATACATATGTATACATATATGTATATATAGGTGTGTTGAGAGATTTGTCCTAAATATTTTGACAGCATCAGTAATACATTTGCTTCTCAACAAGGGGCTTTTGTGGGGAGGCTGTTGAGTATAGGATTTATTAGCACAGACTGGAATCAGGCTTAGGTTTGACTCCAGTTGCTGCTTCACACCAGTTGTGTGACTTTGGGTAAGTTCCCTAAAGCCTCAAAATAGATTCCTCAAAATAATATAGGGATATGAGTACTTCCCTCCAGAGGAAAGCTGTAAGAATTAAACAGCGCCTGGCGTGTGGTAGATGCCCATTATTGGAGTAAGAACACTGCAGTATCTTAGCACTAGGCTAGAGTTTAAGAAATTCGGGAAAGGAGCAGGATTCACACTTAGTCCCTGCTTTCTTGTAATTTTAATGGTGATAGAATTATGCTAATGTGAAAAGGGTAGTGATGTGAAATTCTGGCAAATTCTACTTTTGGCCAGTGAAAAATTCTGGAATTTCCCAGTCCTCGGAAATGGAATGTGTTCTTGGAATTGAGGTAAAACAGTTATTTCTTGGAGCTTTACCTTGTAGGGGCAAACACTCATTCTAAGACAGTCATTAGTTTGCTATAAAGTTATATACTCCATATCCCAGCATTGAGATCTTTTGTGTAATACCTTCTGTGTAGTAACAGTTTTAAAACCTGAATACTTTGTTTTTCTTGTAATTACCAAGTGAACTGTGTGCTTTTAGCTGTGTAATTTTAAGAAATTATAAGGAAGTAATTCCTAGAATTTGTTGTGAAATTACATTTTAATTTACTAAGTGCTTTTTAAAAACAGTAAACGCGTAGTTTTCAGTTGATTTTTTTTTTTTTTTGGATACTAAGAAACTTAGAGAATTATTTGAAGTACATGGGAAAATAAGTTGCCTCTTACAGAATTGCTTGTTAATTCACTGTGTGTGAGGTTGCCTTTGTAATATATTTGCCTTGTAAAATGGCTCTAAGTTTGTTGAGAAAAGGAAAGCTTCATTTTTATATCAGGACTTCCAAATTACATGCAAACTTAGAAACTCCTTTCAGATGTTCCCTCACATTTCTCTGTAGTCAGGACAGCATAAACTTCAACGAAGCATTTGAGCATTGTATTTAGAAGCTCAACCCCCATCCCCTTTCCTGTGTGGACTTTTAAGAATTTCTTCTTGGGCTTTATTTATTATGTACTTGAAAAAATCAATCTGTTCATTTCTTTTTTTTTTTTTTTAATTTTTTTTTTTCAACGTTTATTTATTTTTGGGACAGAGAGAGACAGAGCATGAACGGGGGAGGGGCAGAGAGAGAGGGAGACACAGAATCGGAAACAGGCTCCAGGCTCTGAGCCATCAGCCCAGAGCCTGACGCGGGGCTCGAACTCACGGACCGCGAGATCGTGACCTGGCTGAAGTCGGACGCTTAACCGACTGCGCCACCCAGGCGCCCCAATCTGTTCATTTCTTCATAACCATCAGACTCATTCTTTGAACTAAAATAGTGTCAGAGTATGTTGCGTTTTTCTGAAACTTAGAATTCTTGTTTAACTTTGGTCATTGTTTTGAGACTTTTTAAAAAATTAAAGTAACTATCAACTTGTTTTTCTGGATTTGACATTTAGTTTTTGGAGCACAGCAATTTCTTAGGGATCCAAAGTATAAATGTTACCAGTGGTCTTCTTTCAAGAAGATCTGATGTGTGAAAGTTTACATTTGTTACCTATTAAAAAAAAACTGGGGAATGATATAATGTGGTTGTTCAGTCTATTAAATAACTACAAAGTTTCTTAACAAGATCTTCATGCTACCTTTGAGAAAACGTTTATTGTTTTCACGTATTCTAGAATTCCTTGGTATGGAATTTTTTTTTTCCTGCAGATCTGTCTTAAATTGTTTAAAGGTGGTAAAGATTAACCTAAGTAATGTATTTATTACTCTTGATACGCCTATTCTAGAATTCCTCTGTACCAAGTTGTTTTGTTTTTTGTTTTGTTTTGTTTTTGTCGCAGGTATGTCTTAAGCTGTTTAAAGGTACTAAAGATTAATCAAAGTAGTGTATTTATTACTTTGGAAATTGGCTGTTTTTAAATGTTTGTACAAAGGAAAATTGTGTTCATAAAGACATGTAATTAGACATATGTGTTAAGATGTTTTAGCACAATTCATAAATAACAACTCATAATTAATGTTGTTTTTGTTTTTGTTTATTTTTTAGAAGTCGAACTGAACCAGTGATGGGAACTTCAAAAGCAGTATGTAAAAACACAATCTCACACTTTTTCTACACATTGCTTTTACCTTTATAATGTAGCAGTGAAGTGAATCATTTAGAACTTAATATCCAACTGATCATAGTACATATTGTAAATAAAATGTATTTTGATGACAGCTCAGTTGAATATGGATATATGTGGCATAATTTGCAGACTTATTTTGTAGAAATGGGTAATTTGTGCCCCCCAAAAAACGCTGTTTCATATTAAATATGATAGCATTCTCCCTGTATGACACTGTGTTGTACAGTTAATGTATGATTCTTTTTAGATCATGTAGGTTTTACACTAATGAACATGATAACATGTTCTACATCTGTCTGTCTATAGTTAGTATTTTGTATGTATGTACAGGCTGTTGTGTGCTTTTTGTTTCTTGCAATAAAAAAAAATGTTTGGAGTGTATATTTTGCCATTTTTCACGTTGTATCACTTAGTTTTTGTTAGTTTTTTTTTTTCTGCCTAATTGATGGCTTTAAAAAATGCATTAGCAACATGCAAAACTAATATGAAAGTTTGATGCTTTCTCCAAGTTCAGACACCAATAGAAAAAAGCTTTCCAAAGACTTTTGATGCAGCTTTATTATTCAGTTTTGCTTTATTTGGCAATTTCAAGCTTTTATTCTTTGTTGATATCTGTACTATAAAAGTGAGACCTGAAATTTGGGCCCCCTGAGTACATAAACATCTCAATGATGATTTCTACAATTCAGTACATTGTTTTCAAATTTTAATACAAGGTCTTCCAGTTCTAGCCTGTTTAGTTCTCCAAAATAAAATATTTCCCTCTTATAAGATATTAAAATGCTGCATTAATTACAAGCTAATTGAAAGCTGTAGCTTATCAAAGATAACTCCCCTTAAGTGGAATAACATCTTAATTTTTATTATCATAGCTAAAGTACGACACCATGTTGACTTGAAGGTCTTAAGTAAAAGGTAGTGGAAATACCTAAGTTGTGAGGTGAAATGTGTTTCAGAAAGTAGGTCTGTAGTAACGGAGTTCTGTAAACTTGATGGTTCTCTAAACATTTTACTGCTCAGGCTTGATTTGTACACAATACGAGATGTCTGAAATCTTCATTTTAGAATTCAAGGATACTGCTTGCTGTTTCACTTTATCCTTTTTAAATACTACTGATCTTTAATTGTGTATCAGGCATTTCACTAACCTTGGATCATTGCATCTTAAACATGATAATATAGAATATCTGAACTTTGGACTTGTTCTCTAAAATATATGGCCTTTAGTTCTCATGGAACTAAATACAGTGATTCGAAGATCAAAATTTAGAGATTTGGGTTTTTTTCCCCACCCTCTGGGGTATATGGGCTTTTTTTTGTTTTGGGGTTTTTTTGTTGTTGTTGTTTTGTTTTATTTTTTTGTTTTTTGGGTTTGTTTTGTTTTTTGGTGGTTTTTGTTTTGTTTTTGGTTTTTTGGTTTTTTTGGTTTTTAAAGCATAATGCTGTAAAAAAAAAAACAAAAAAAAAAAAACAACAAACTGTCCAAGTTTCTGTTTTGCTGGTGATTGGTTTAAAACTGATTTTATGTATCCAAATGCTAGCACAAATCAGAGTGACTATCCTGGTGACTGTAGTGGTTAATGTAACACGTTTTGTATAAAGTATTTTTATATAGTATTTAAACTAATTCAGATGAAGTTTTATTTCTTGAAAACAGTTATTTCCTTTTTGTTTATTAGCATGTGTATAAACACAAATCACATGTTCATAAATAAAGTTAACATTCTTTTAGCCTTGTGTGTTCCCTGGCATGTCTGTATTACACTTATAAGAAGCAGTTTATTTTATGCTTATTTAGGTTTCTCTTTTCTTTTCTTTTCTTTTCTTTTTTTTTTTTTTTAATACTTTAAAAGTGGCTTTAATTTTTAGGTAGAATTGTCTGAAATGGAGACATTAGATAACTTAATATCCCCACCACTTATTTGCTTGGGGTACATATGCTGGTGTTTAGGATGAGAGAATATATTCATTAAGCATAATTAATGCCCATCTTATGAATCACGTATTCTTGTACACATTCACAAAAGCCAAGTAAGATAGGGCCACTAAACCAGATTTCTAAATGCTGATTAATAAAAGTAAATGTGTGTACATTTTTGGTAACTTAAGCCGACTGTAATCAAGGATGGCTGTTTCTGTCTGTATTCCTTAGCTTATTTTATTTAGCCATCCTTCATGTTGGTATTCCAAAGCTGGATGTTCTTCCTGTTTACTAAATATCAGGATTGTATTTTGTAGGATCCTTTAATTGCAAGCGAGTGTAAGTGGCATAAAATATTTCAGATTCTTTCTCCCAGAAGCAAGACCACAAATTAGATGTGGGGAAGTGGGTTAATTTTAATGATGTCCACAGTATGCATTGATCAGTTTTTATGAAGACGACTTTTTTAAATGTGGTGCATTTTTTAAATCATTAGTATCTGAGAATTAATACATTTATTGCTGCCTAGTACATGTAAATTCCTAGTCGTTTTTAAACCATTCCTTGTTAGCAATTTTCACTGATTTCTAGTACCTTGCTTTTTGTAGAAAACTATTGGACACCTTTCACAATTTATGGTAAATTTGACTTTCTCATGGACTTTAAGGTATTTAAGGTGTTAGAATCATTGGTGGGGAAAAAAAGTGATATAGATGTTGTTGAGTATCTGAAACCACTTTACCCAGTACTAATGACAAATCAACAGAAAACTAAAAGGACCAGATGGCCCGACATAAGAACAAAAAAACAGATATATCATAGTGGGAAGAACAAAAAATGTTAGTATTTTAGTTCTAGCTGTAAGAAAGTTAATATAACTGCTTTCTCTTAAGGAAGTGATGAGTGTTCATATTCTAGATAGTAATGGGCTATTTTGAAGGGTTATTAGTTTCATTGGTTAGAAACAGTATAGATGATGCTTGACAGCATTTGGTTCTTGTTATTTAAATTCACATAGTTCCTAACTAATGCAAAAAGTAGCCCTTTTCAAAATAGATTGAGATGATCAGAATTTATTCTGGATAAAAATAGGATGTTTATGGTTTGTTTGTTTTTTTTTAAGCTTCCTTTGAGATTAGTTCTGTAATGAAAACACTTAAGAGCCAGATGAGAATAAGAACACATTGGTGAATTATATGATTGCATATTAGGAATATGGAATAGTGCATTACAAATTCTGGGGCAGCCCCTCAGTGGGCAGCTAAGAACCTTTTGTTGAAGTAAGCGTCCCAGTAATACTATCCATTAAACTGACTTTTAAAACCCTAAGATATTTATAAGATATATTTTAAATTTAGCAAACATGATTTTTATTGACTGAACTCCTGCTGTGGTAGGCATTGTGCTAAGAGCTTCATATTGAAACTGGTAACATTTCTATTTGGGGCTGTAAGTCATGCTGCTTTTATTTTAATTCTCTTAGTTCTCTGGAATATTTGAAAAATACCTGATGAAGACTCCCTTCATTGTTGTTATTTTTCTTTGATCCAGACATCTTGTTACATTCTCTCCATTTTAAACAAGAGTTCTGACCAATAATGCATGAGAAGCTTACAACATGTTGAATAAGCAACCCAATTACTATATAGGAAGCAAATCATGTTTTCTTTTTGGTACACTTAACAGGGAAATCATATCTTTAGAGTTAGATGGGAAAGGGGTGTGTGTGTGTGTGTGTGTGTATACAGATACACACTTTTTAAAAACTGATATTAAAATCATTTCAGGGGGTCAAATAGTGAAAAATCTTAAAATACCACATTTGAAAATACATTTTTAAAATCTTTCTTATTCAATATATAATACTTTCTCCATTTGATTAAATTAACTTTCTTCACGCATTATTAAAGTCCATCCTCCCAATAGCCCTATTTGCCTTTGCTCCACACTACCACTGGTTTTCCTTTTTTTGATTTAACATCTTTGCTCTGATAAAATTGTGGTTTCTTTGGCAAGAAGCCATTCTTACTCTTTGTATGGGAGAATAAACAAACTTATTCAGACCGAACAGTACATGCTTAAAAAAAGAGAAAAAAGTAGCAATTATGTGGGAGCTGTTTTATTAAAGCAATTATCTGAGCCTTTAAAGAGCTCCTTGTTTTTACCATGTTCTATAATGGCACTCCAGGAAAGTTAGATTTCTTATTCTCTCTAGTGTATATTCTCTTGAGCGTTATCAGATTTAGAAACCATTGATAGACACGGACTCTTATTTAATATTCAGTCACTGCTCTGAACATATTTTCTGTGATATATTTTTCTTTACCCTGTTTTTTGTTGTTTTTTTTTTAATATTGTAATTGAATCCCCCTCAACTTAAGCCTTTATTATATGTGTGAAATATGTAGAGAAGGGTAAAGTGGGGTGAGCTACAATTTCAGCTTTAAAACAGGGAATAACATTCTTTAGAAAACTTCTAAGAAAATGCCCAATATTTGAACATTAATTGGCAATAGGGACTAAATGATCACTTTCAGATGTTTTCAGTGTGGAACTTGAATGTGTGTTTAATTTTTTGTGAACAGATTGATGACTCTTCTGCATCTATTTCTCTGGCCCAGCTTACAAAGGTATATATATATATATATATCTATTCTTGCAAATATAAATCTTTTTCTAACATCGTATTTTTTTAAATGTGGAACAATTGTTTAAAGAGGGGTTGGGGAGGATATGTCTTACAAAAATATTGTACACATTGTTACTATCCTGTAAAGAGTAGTTGCTGCTTTGAGAAGATAGGGGGAGTGTTTTGTCAGCCTCACCATAATGTTGGAGTATTGGTCATCTTCAAGACAGAAGAAACACATGAAGCTACACTTATTTGGTGGGTTTTTCCCCCCTTACACATTTTGTTTAATTATACATTGGAAACTAACAAAGTTCTGGAGGAATTCCCTGGTTTTGGCTGTAAATTATGTGGACTTTCTTTATGCAGCCAAAATAGAAGCTTTCCTTTACATGGACAATTGCACGGCTATTTCTTGAATATTTGAATTGATCCCATGAAGGTCAACATTTTAAATGTGTTACGATTGTTTCTTTATGCTCTAGACTTGTAGTCTGTCTGCATTAGAAAAAGTTTTAGACAACCTAATTTGTTTGAACACAGACTACAGTGAATTGTGTAAATGTGTAAAGCTGTTTGCAGGAATATACCAATGTGTATGTTTGGCAGAAGGGCAAATTGTTACCTCCTGAAATAATTGTATATGCCATGTTTTGCGATAAAATTGCTTGCATTTTCTGCTCAACAATGTGTACCTTTTGTTTGGGAAAGCACTAGTGATGGATTACTTTTTAAAGCAATAGACGTAGCTTGCAAATCATGCCTTCAAAAAAAAAAAAAAAAAAAGACATTACAGATTAGGCAGATTTTTGAGGACCAAGAAGGAAGTCTTCCAGTTTTCCAAAAATCCTTTTTTCCCTACTATCAAAGTAAAACCAGACTTAGCAACCAAGATTAATGAGTTAGATGGATTTTCCATTAGTGCTGTCCCTATCTTATCCTTGACTTTGTTATAGGTTGTATCCTCTTCCCCTAGAATGTATCCCAAAAGAAATGTCCTAGTAACAAATACAGCTTTTTAAGCTTTTGTTCTGGGGAAACTAAACATTAAAATCGATGATTCTAAAACATGAAGTGGGCTGAAACCATCGTCTCTTAACAATTTTCTAATGCAAAAGTGGTCTAGCATAGAGTTTACATCTTAAGCAGTTTATAGTTCATGGTTTTAATTCTTATGTGCTGTAAGGACCCTATTTGAGTTTTGGTCTGTTCCTACCATTGTTTCTTTGTGGGAAGCAGTTGGGGAATTTTGGAGGTTTGGGAGATTTTTTTTTAACTACTTGTAAATTAATGTTTGGGTTCAAACAAATTAGTTGTTCAACATCTGTAATCCAGTTTTCTGTAAATGTTGCTGTTGTTCTAAGCTCTGTTAATGTTAAGCATTCTTTGTATATAAAATTACAATAAAATGTTAAAACTGGTTGCTTGTTTTGTGGATGAATGTAAAGATAAAACCCAATGAATGGCTGATGTGAGTGCTAGATGCTTGAAGCTTCAAGTTATCAGGACTCACTCCCTTAGACCCTGGTTATATCTAGACTATTCTATATAATACCTTAAAGATGAAGTTCATAAAACTTCGGAGAATCGGATTTAAAATGATGAGTGCTCCGTTGCATGTGCTTTGCACTTAATTTGAAACTGATTCTACTTCTTAAAGAGCCTTTTGCCTTAATATCATCTGCATAATGTTCAATTGTTTTACCCATAACCCTACCTCCAAGTTGTAAATACAAAGTCTTTATGCTACGACACTTGAATTATTTTTAAGGCTTAAAATGTCAAGTGTTTCCTTAATCTGTTTTAACTCTTAGACGAGTCATATGTAAATCTTAATGTAAGGTACAAACAGGGTCTAAGGTTTGAGTGCCCCCAGCAAGACCTTCAGCCCTGCAGACACCCAAACGTCATGTAATGAATGAGCTAAGGAACTCCTGATGCCTCTTCTAGGTTATACGTGTAAATAGCTTTCAGTTTTAGGTTTTATGCAAGATTAGATACTGCTCTTTACAGGATGAGTGGTGTTGTCTTTGGCTGTGTGGTCTTAAATGTGTTTCTAATGTGTGTGTCAAATAATTACCTGTTAAACAGACTGCCAATCTGGCTGAAGCCAATGCTTCTGAAGAAGATAAAATTAAAGCAATGATGTCGCAATCTGGCCATGAATACGACCCAATCAAGTAAGTCCATAAATGCTTCATACTAATAGGTACATTGGGGTGGATTTTCCCCCCCAATCAGAAGCTTTATTCTTTCAAGGTTTTGTGTACATGTAATTCTGTTTCCCTTTCAGTTACATGAAGAAACCTCTAGGCCCACCACCTCCATCTTATACCTGTTTTCGTTGTGGTAAACCTGGCCATTACATTAAGAATTGCCCAACAAACGGGGTAAGTCCAAAGTAGAAACCATGGTACACCTTATTTTTCTTACAATGATTTCTTAGCTATCGGATTTTTCTTGGTAAATACTGCCTTCTCTATTACAATGGCAAATGAGCTCAGGCTGTGGAGCCAGATTGCCAGGCTTCAGATCCTGGCTCTGCTGCTCAACGGTTGACTGGGCTTGGGCAGGCCACTTGACTTCTTCAAGCCTGTTCGGTCTTCTCTGTGAAACGGACATGGTAATAACAGTATTTACCTCGCATGGCTGTTGCGAGGTTTAAATGAGATCATATATGTAGAGCACTACAGATACTATAAGCAGTTAATAAGCACTGCGTGTTAGCTAATATTAAACAAAGGGTAACTGCTTTCTTTCTTCCTCCTTTCTCCTTTCCCCTCCAAATAGGATAAAAACTTTGAATCTGGTCCGAGGATTAAAAAGAGCACTGGTATTCCCAGAAGTTTTATGATGGAAGTGAAAGATCCTAACATGAAAGGTGCAATGCTTACCAACACTGGAAAGTATGCGATACCGACTATAGACGCGTAAGTATTCTAGTTACGTATGACCTGTGAGGCCACAGCCCGTCCGGGCGCTGGTGTTTTATGTAGGCTTGGGGTCGCCACTTGGCTACTTGGATTTCTTGTGAGCATTGTATAGCAAGACTGTTGGTCTCCACATGTTGCATTTCTGTGTGAAGAATGAGAGGCTGCAGTCTGCTCCATTAAATGCAAATTTAGAATGGATTTGGGGTTTTTGTTACCACTGAGTGCCACTTCCCTTGTGGGCTTCTAATTTTTTCTTTTTCTGTCATACCCTGCTTTCTTCTTCATTCACATACATACTCCCACATGATCTTCTATGCTGTCTACATGTGTTAAGTGAAAAAGACCAATGTCTTAATCATTCTGAGAAACAGAAGGCTTAAGCACAAAAGTTGTATAAGATGTCAGGGCAAATTTAAGTGCCAAGAATAAATGAAGAACTGAGTCCTCTTGAATAAGTTTGGATGTACCGTGTGAGTCTTAAACTTCTAAAATAACGATTTATTTTACAAACCCATTAGTTCAGATGAGCTACAGCTCTGTACCCTACAGCTTAGTGCTTATTTGCAATGTGTTTTCAGATCGTATTTTAGGAGCCAATTCTTAATGAAGTGGATAGACCTGAAAACCTACTAGTGGTATAATTCAACTGACAACTTCTCATTTTATCTGCTTTTATTAATCCCGCTAATTACCTTTGTGGTTACCCTCACCAGTTATGAACTCACATGATACAGAGCACAGTATTAACTGTCCCTTTGGACTGGGTGCTCCAACAAGTCCTCCAGTGGGTTATGAAGTGAGGGCGTCCTCAGGACATACCTTGAGAAACATCCATTTAGAGAATAACAGTGCCCTTGTTCATCGTGACATGAAGAGAATGAGTAAAAGAACGGTTGTCCTCAGCCTCATGCTGTAGCGTTGAAACGCAGCATAGTGCGCAGATGAAGGTGATGAAAACGGCAGTGCCGTGGAATGATCTTGAAAAGATTTTATGGTTTTGAGTATACACTTTAGTAAATAGATTGTTTTCATTCACAGATAAGGATTAGTGTTTTCCTGAACTCCCAGCCCTGCTCACTTTCTCCGTTTCACCCCCATCAATTTTTGATCAGTCACCATCCTTTGTCTTGTGGTTCATCTTAGAGCAGTCTGTTTTTACGCTGTTTCTGATTCAGACATTTCATACGTGCTTCCAAACAACCTAGGTTGAAATGGATGGTTTTTACGGACACAATTTAAGAGCAGACCGCTTCATCTTAATATAATATATACAAGTAAAAGTAATGGAAGTTTGTGTCGGAAAAATTAACATCACCCTTGTGAACCCTAACTAATAATTAACTTCATTGTTTTTGAATGCTGAAATGCAAAAGCCCATTTGTGCCAGACACACAGCAAATACTGGGGAAATGGGAGCCCAAATATTTTAAATGAAACTTTCACCCTCTCCACTAACACCACTGATAAGCAACTCAGACTCTTCTTCTGTTTCTTTTTCTATCCTCTGTTCTTCTTTTTTTTTTTTTTTTTTCTTTCTTTTCTCTCTTTTGGGCAGTGGGAGACTCCTCTTTCACAAATTGGGAACAATGGGGCATAAGCAAATTGATACTTATTTCTGGAGTCGTGGTGATGTCTATGGAGCAGCTGCAACACAAATAACACACCTCAGGTACCCTCCTCTGTACAGCTGAGATGCTTTCATTTTCAGCAGTGAGATCGACACACTCTGTTCCTAAATGAGATAGAATTTACCTAGGAATTCCTATGTTATACAAATCTGCCTGATTAGAGAAGATGTGGGTGTTGGAAGCAGTGGTGACAAGTCTGAGAATAGTGTACTTTGGTTTTTTATTTTATTAAAACATTTTTTTTTAATGTTTATTTTTGAGAAAGAAAGCGAGTGAGCAGGCGAGGGGCAGAGAGAGAGGGAGACACAGAATCTGAAGCAGGCTCCAGGCTCTGAGCTGTCAGCACAGAGCCCGACATGGGGCTCGAACTCAACAAGCTGTGAGATCATGACCTGAGCCAAAGTCGGACGTTCAATTGACTGATCCATGCAAGCACCCCTAGTGTTTTATTTTCAATATGTTTAATATGCAGCATTTCTGCAAAATGTATTTCTACCAGAAAATGGACCCAAAATGACTAAAGTGTTACTTTATATTCTTGTAACACATATTCTAATCATTGAAGTCATTAGTATTTCTTAGTTGGTTATAAATAGATTAATCTCTCTTTTAAAATACTAATTAGAAGTAAACCACTGGTTTTGAAGTCTGATGATTCTAGCTACTAGCTACTGGTGTGGTTGGTTGCATAATATTTCCCTTGAACTGTCCCCCTCGATTGTATGATGTCAGCACCAGTTTCCATTTCCTGTATTATAGCATGCTCTCTGATACCTTCACAGGTTTTGGGGACTGTTGGTCTATGGAAGGGAATTCCCTCCATACCCCCCACCCCCTCAAGAAACATGGTAGGATAGAGAAAATTGTGGTTAGGGTGTTGTCATGTCCAAGTTCAAATCCTGTCTCTGCCACTTAAGCATAAACTTGTGGCATTGAATGTGTCCCTTTAATCTCTGGCCCTGAGTTCTAGAGTTGTGGATTCTTAAGATCCTTTTAGCCACTTTTATAGCATTTGTTTCTTTTTGTTATACTTGTTTAGGATTTTGTTTTGTCTTTTTGTTGCTTAGGGGGAGGATGTTCATAACTACTCCCTTATTTTGGAAGGTATTATACTTGTGTAAACGAATTTGGCATCGTACTGAATTATAAGCTCCCATTATGGTATAGTAGAACATGTACTATCTTAGTAATACTTTGTTTTCTTAACAATGTTAAAACAGTAAAACCTTCTTTTACAGAGAAGCATATGCAATTGGGAAGAAAGAAAAACCACCTTTCTTACCAGAGGAACCATCTTCTTCTTCAGAAGAAGATGATCCTATCCCAGATGAATTATTGTGTCTCATCTGCAAAGATATTATGACTGATGCCGTTGTCATTCCCTGCTGTGGAAACAGTTATTGTGATGAATGTAAGAAATGTTGAACCTTCAGAGATACATGTCTTAGAATATGTGTGTGTATTTGGAAGGGCTCTTTAGCAACATTGTATGTTTTAATAATGCAGTATGAAATGTTGATAATTGATCATTTAGTTCATCATTGCACCTTTAATAGCAAGAACTGTTTTTGTCACTACATTTTTTTCTTTAAACAACAGCCTCTTTGTCCTTTTAAATATTAGAATTGACCATTTCTTCTACCTTCATTAGGGTGACTGTACTAAGGTTTTATAAAATGTAGGACTTTTGTTTCCTACACATTTTATTTTAGTTTTTAAAGTTTATTTATTTTTGAGGGGGGGACGCACAGAGAGAGGATCCAAAGTGGGCTCTGTGCTGACAGCAGAGAGGCCCATGGGGGGCTAGAACTCACGAACTGTGAGATCATGACCTGAGCAGAAGTCGTACACTTAACCGACTGAGCCACAGACGTACCCCTGTTTCCTACACATTTTAAATGGTATGCAGAATTTTGAAAGCCTTTTGGGCATTAGATATTCTAGAAATATTTTTAAATGGTACCTAAATCCCTTTCCTGGATGGTGGAAAAATAGTTTATTCTAAAATTCCTAAGTGTAATTGAGAACTGTTCTCTGCAAACATACTACCCAACATTTGCCTTGTGGTTACTTGTGATTTTTTTCTGATCTTTTATATTGGGTTGGGTTTTTCCCACTTGGGTTTTTCTGCCACTTATTTCTTACCAAGATGAAAATGGCATCATCTGAAAATTTCACTGCTTAGTCCTGTTTTGGCCTTTTTCATTTCATAGCTTTGGAATATAAATCTTTATTTTGGGGCCTCTCCAGTGAAGACCAAAGTCAAGAAGAGGTCACTTAAGATTTGTTTCCAAGTGTCTTAGATTTAACAAACCACTTGCATTACTGAATTTTTTACTACACTGAAGCATAATCAGTGAATCTGTAATTTAGTGTTACTCCTCTGTACTGTGCTGTAGGTGTTGCTGATTTCCTTGCCTGAACAATGTTTCTGTTTTTTATAATTCCCCTTTCTCTTAAGTTATTTATGTAATCTCTATACCACATGTGGGACTCCAACTCACGACCCTGAGATCAAGAGCCGCATGCTTTTCTGATGGAGCCAGCCAGGCACTCCTCCTCCTGATGCTCTTTTAAAACCCTGTTAGCCCTGTAAATTTTTTACCTTTCTAGACTATATATTATTTCTATTTTTGTCCTCTATACTATTCCAATTTTTAGCTAAACAAAGAGAATAGTATTTAGGAAAGAGTGCTTTTTCTCTCAATTTAAATCTTTGTTTAAATTCTATTTATGACTTCTGTTTTGTTTTGTTTTGTTTTGTTTTTAATGTTTATTTATTTTTGAGAGAGACAGAGACAGAATGTGAGTGGGTTGGGACAGAGGGAGAGGGAGACACAGAATCTGAAACAGGCTCCAGGCTCTGAGCTGTCAGCACAGAGCCCGACGCAGGGCTCGAACTCACGAGCCGCGAGATCATGACCTGAGCTGAAGTCGGACGCTTAACCGACTGAGCCACCCAGGCACCCCAATGACTTCTGTTTTTAAGGTTGAAGTTACAGCAGAGGAGTGCTATCAGGCGAGAGTCTGTACTTTTAAGTTTTTCAATCTTAGAAATGATAAGTAATGTGTGCTTGGAAAGAGTAATGTAATATTTAAAATATATCACATAGGTATAAGAACAGCACTCTTGGAATCAGATGATCATACATGTCCAACATGCCATCAGAATGATGTCTCTCCTGATGCTTTAATTGCCAATAAGTTCTTACGACAGGTAACTGACTTTGTATCCCTTTTGGAAAATTTTTAAAAATTTTTGGTGGTTTAAACTGTGCTTGAGGAAATACCACCTTACATTTTCCTGCATCTTTCTGTTTGGTATCTATAGGCTGTTAATAACTTCAAAAATGAAACCGGTTATACAAAAAGACTACGAAAACAGTTACCCCCACCACCGCCCCCAATACCACCTCCGAGACCACTCATTCAGCGGAACCTACAACCTCTGATGAGATCTCCAATATCAAGACAACAGGATCCCCTGATGATTCCAGTGACCTCTTCAGCTCACCCAGCTCCTTCCATATCTTCATTAACTTCTAATCAGTCTTCCTTGGCCCCTCCTGTGCCTGGAAATTCATCTTCTACCCCGGCTCCTGTACCTGATATAACTGCCACAGTGTCCATCTCAGTCCACTCTGAAAAACCAGATGGACCTTTCCGGTAAGTCTGTGTATCTCTCTGGTTTTTCATTGTTGTTTATTGCTTTAGTAGTTGTTATAGTGACTGGTAAGTATCATCCTTGTGAACCACTGTGCTCAATAAGGTGGGTGACTCCATAAAGTAACCCATTGCTAAACGGGTACTTTTAAGAGATGACTCAGTCTTATTGGAGGAACAGGCAAATGAAGGAGTTTCACTTGGCAAATGATTAAGCATCCCAGGATAAAGAACTATACGAGTTGCCAACCACCCCTGTTAAGTGTTGAATTAAAACTCACTTAAATCCTACTGGTTCAGACATGAAAAGGATCTTTGGACATGTAGTCCAGTAGTTCATAAATTCCTTTTTTTTTTTTTTTTTTTTTAATGTTTGTTTATTTTTGAATGAGAAGAGTGTGAGCACACATGACCACAAGTGGGGGAGTGGCAGAGAGGGAGAGAGAATCCTGAGCAAGCTCCGCTATGTCAGCGCAGAGCCCAACTGGGGGCCTGAACTCACCTTGAGATCATGACTAGAGCCAAAACCAAGAGTCGGACATTAACCAACTGAGCCACCCAGGTGCCCCAGTGGCTCATAAATTCTTGAGGAATCAGCCACTTAAAAAAAAAAAATAGATGCCAGGGGTCTGTGCAGACATACTAAAGCAAAATCTTGAGGACGGGGACCTTTACATTTATATTTAAGACCTCAGTCAGAATTCATTGGCTTTTCAGTGGTGGAGCTGGAAGTAGAATTTACTCTTAATCCTGTATTCTTTTGGTCCCACAATTTGATTTTCTTCCTTTTAAAAAAAAAAAAATTTTTTTTAACGTTTATTCATTTTTGAG